CCAGACCCTGAAGAGGCCTGGGCCTATCCCTGACCATGAGGAGGCCTGGACCTTAACAAGAAGAGATGTGGGCCCGGGCCTATCCCTGACCCTGAGGAGGCCTGGGCCCTAACAAGAAGAGATGTGGGCCTGGGCCTATCCCTGAACATGAAGAGGCCTGGGACCAACAAGAAGAGATGTGGGCCTGTGCCTATAGCTGACCGTGAGGTGGTCTTGGCTCAAACAAGAAGAGATGTGGACCTGGGTCTACTCTTGAAACTGAAATGGCCTGAGCCTTAATAAGGAAAGAATTGGCTCTGACTTATTCATGACCCTGAAGTGACTGGGGACCAAACAAGAAGAGATGGGGGCCAGGGCCCATCCCTGAACATGAAGAGGCCTGGGCCCAAGAAGAAGAGATATGGGCCCGGGCCTACCCCAAACCCTGAAGAGGCCTGGGCCCTAACAAAGAGATGTGGGCCTGGGCCTACCCCTGACCCTGAAGAGGCCTGGGCCCTAACAAAGGAGATGTGGGCCTGGGCCTATCCCTGACCCTGAAGAGGCCTGGGCCTATCCCTGATCATCAAGAGGCCTCGGACCTAACAAGAAGAGATGTGGGCCTGGGCCTACCCCTGACCCTGAAGAGGCCTGGACCCTAACACGAAGAGATGTGGGCCTGGGCCTACACCTGATCCTGAAGAGGCCTGGGCCTTAACAAGAAGAGATATGAGCCTGGGCCTATCCCTGACCCTGAAGAGGCCTGGGCCCTAACAAGAAGAGATGTGGGCCTGGGCCTATCCCCGATCCTGAAGAGGCCTGGGCCCTAACAAGGAGAGATGTGGGCCTGGGCCTATCCCTGACCCTGAAGAGGCCTGGGCCCTAACAAGAAGAGATGTGGGCCGGGGCCTACCCCAGACCCTGAAAGGCTTGGGCCTACCGCAGACCCTGAAGAGGCCTGAGCCTATCCCCGACCCTGAAGAGTCCTAGGCCCTAACAAAGAGATGTGGGCCTGGGCCTACCCCAGACCCTGAAGAGGCCTGGGCCTATCCCTAACCCTGAAGAGGCCTGGGCCCAACAAGAAGAGATGTGCGCCTAGGCCTACCCCTGACCCTGAAGAGGCCTGAGCCCTAACAAGAAGAGATGTGGGCCCGGGCCTATCCCTCACCCTGAAGAGGCCTGGGCCCTAACAAGGAGAGATGTGGGCCTGGGCCTACCCATGACCCTGAAGAGGCATGGGCCCTAACAAAGAGATGTGGGCCTGGGCCTATTCCTGATCCAGAAGAGGCCTGGGCCCTAGCAAGAAGAGATGTGGGCCCGGGCATACCCCAGACCCTATAGAGGCCTGGGCCCAACAAGATGCATGGGCCTGGGTCTACCCCTGACCCTGAAGAGGCCTGAGTCCTAACAAGAAGAGATGTGGGCCTGGGCCTACACCTGACTCTGAAGAGGCCTGGGCCCTAACAAGAAAAGATGTGGGCTCAGGCCTATTCCTGACCCTTAAGAGGCCTGGGCCCTAACAAGAAGACATGTGGGCCTGGGCCTATCCCTGACCCTGAAGAGGCCTGGGCCCTAACAAGAAGAGATGTGGGCCTGGGCCTACCCCTGACCCTGAAGAGGCCTGGGCCCAACATGAAGAGATATGGGCCTGGGCTTATTCATGACCCTGAAGAGGCCTGGGCTCAACCAAGAAGAGATGTGGGCCTGGGCCTACCCCGATCCTGAAGAGGCCTGGGCCCTAACAAGAAGACATGTGGGCCTGGGCCTATCCCTGACCCTGAAGAGGCCTGGGGCCTACCAAGAAGAGATATGGGTCTAGGCCTACCCCTGTCCCTGAAGAGGCCTGGGCCCTAACAAGGAGAGATGTGAGCTCGGGCCTACCCCTGACCCTGAAGAGGCCTGGGCCCTAACAAGAAGAGATGTGGGCCCGGGCCTATCCCTCACCCTGAAGAGGCCTGGGCTCTAACAAGAAGAGATGTGGGCCCGGGCCTACCCCTGACCCTGAAGAGGCCTGGGCCCTACAAGAAAAGATGTGGTCCTGGGCCTACCCCTGACCCTGAAGAGGCCTGGGCCC